CAGTGGCGGCCTTAGGGGGTGGCGAGCAGGGCAATCGCCCGGGGCCTCGCTCTTGGAGGGGCCTCGCGCAACAACCAAGTAGAAAAAAGTTGATATTTAAAACTTTTTATTTTATCCTTGGCTATTAGTTATAACAATAAAATAAATTTAATTTATAGTACAGTATATATTAATATTAATAAGTGCCTACTATTTCAATTCACATACTTTGCACAAAGGACAAGGGCCTCGCAAAGATCTGCCGCCCAGAGCCTCGCAATGGATAAGGCCGCCGCTGCTTAAATAAATAAATATAGCAATTTTTATGTTTTAGTACTCTTCACTGTTTTAACATACCTGGAAGTACAAATCTCCAAGGAATTGGACCAATACTTTTTCTTGCAGCCTTTACGAAAGGATTATTTGGATCTTTACTTGAATCAAGTTTAATTCCAAAAGCAGTCCTAGCAATAACATCTATTGTATAAGTACTTGAAAATCTGAAAAGAAATGAAGTGAAGAAATATTTCAATTTTATCAGATTTGTTATTTTATAGAATTCGAGTTTTATAGAAATAAAACCTGAATAATAAATGTAACATAAGGAACAGCATGTACAAACCATGTCTTATGCATTGTAAATAAAGCATCATAAGTACGATAAGTAATATGTACATAATAAAATTAATTATCGGTTGCACTAGTTAGCATTTAAACTACAGAATACCCATCTGTGAAGTTAATTTAAGCTTTTCATTAAACTTCAGAATAAAAAAATACCCATGGTAAGATCGGCAATGACGAACAATGCTGACACATGGGCAATAATAAGAGCCCAGAAAAAGAAAATAGAAACATATGAAATGGGAATTCTGAAGTGGTAGTGTTATGTGATGAAAAAGAACGCGATTAGGAACGATTAAATAAGAGAAACTGTCAAGATGGATTTTATAAGTAGGAATATGCAGAATAGTGATGTAACGAATATTCGGCCACTATTCGGTATTCGGCCTATTCGGCCTATTTTTCGCTATTCGGCCGAATACCGAATATTTAATCACTATTCGGCCGAATACCGAATACCTAAAAACAGGAGTAAGAAATAACAAAACACAGTAAATTAATCATTTTGGTAACTTTTATCAATGCTGAACATACATTTCAAGATCGAGAAAGCGCAATTTTTTGCTTATTTATGTAAAAGATCAAAGGAAAAGTAATATAACTAAGTTATTTTTTAAGAGATCAAAAGAGGGTAACAAATAAAATGANTATATGATTTGCGAAAGAATGATATTATCATCATATTTGCTTAGACAGAAGTATACCAGGGAGCAATTGTTCCCTCCTGCGAAAGAATAATTTAAATAATACAGCACTTGTATAACATACTGCCATGACGCTCATGTCTGTCCGCTACAACTGTCAAGAATTAACGCGATTGAAGAAGTGTAGTGACAGCGGGCCAATAGAGAACAGGGTGCACGATCCTTGCCATATAATGCGATTTTGCGCGCCAATTTTCGTACGTGCGTTAATCAAGCCGAATAGTTTGGCCGAATATTCGGCTATTCGGCCACACTCCTGGCCGAATATTCGGTATTCGGCCTGAGGCCGAATATACTATTCGTTACATCACTAATGCAGAAAATTAAATTATGTTGGTTTGGACATGAGAAGGAAGAAGAAAGGACTACGTTGGAAAGGGGATTGGGAAGTTGGGTTGGACTATGTTGGAAAGACCGAAGCTGAAATGAAAAGACCGAAGCTGAAATGAAAATGAAAAGGCAAAGGTTTTGGGGTGAGGGGATGGAGGAAAGAGGACTCCCTGGATAGAGAAAAGTGGAGAAGGCAGATTAAAGATGTGAATGTTATTCCCACATCAGCATGAGAAAAAGCAAAGACAAAAAAAGGGGATTAAACTTCAGAATAATGTACTTTCACTTATAGAAGAGCTGTCACCCATTTGCTGAAAAATTCTAACTGCTCAGTCGTCTTATTAAAAGCACGATAAACAAGATGAAAGAGAAAAAAATGAATAAGCAAAAGCGTGGGACGGATTGAAGAGTAGACATGGTAAGATACTATCTACGATATTTTAATATACGTACTGTACTTTATAATAAAAAATGATATATTATTACGTTATATAGACTTCGACACTTCAAACTCGCTAACGTTACGTAGACAACAAAGTATTTTAAAATCGAAATCAATTCTTGAAATTTACAATCGCTATATAACGTAATATTTGAACGTTTTGAAAGATATTCTGCCAATATTAGGGTAAACTTCGCTTAAATAGTCAGAAATAATAAAGGTTGTCCATATCCGAATCAGATTTGTCAGCCATCGTTTTTCTTCTCTGATTTATGGAATAAATTTTAATTAACCGAAACCAGCGGTTATCTCAGCCGGCAGTTTATCTCAAAGATTTTTCTACATTTTCTGCCCTGTGGCGATTAAGAGAGTCTCTTTTTTTTTATCAAGATCATCGTGTTTCACAATATGGCGGCCCACGTGGCGAAGGACTGGACCCTACATTAGGAGGAAAGATTACTCCTAACAATTTCCTGGAGTTTTTGCATCGATTAGTTTCATTCTACAATTCGGAGAACGGCAAAGCTGACACTTTACCTGTTCACCATTCGACCGTCTATCGCAAAGACATCGTTGAGTATGTACGCAGGTATAATTTAATTGAAAATAATACTAAAATTAACAATGTACTTACTTAGTAACATCTACTTCCTTTCCTCCGTTGGATTCTTCTATGATATTGTTAATAAATGTTTGGCAACAGTCATCGACTGATTTATCCATCTACAAAGAGTTCGGGAAAAATCCATTACATAAAATTTATTTCATGCTGTTAAATTTTACTCTAATATATATTTTTTGATATGTAACTGAAGCAAAAGAAAGTAAAAATAATTCGCACCAGTCTCAGTTTTCCAGAAGTGAAACTGGGTGACATCATAGTTCTTAATTGTTTCCATCTTTCTCCAGTTTGCATGAATAATCCCTTGTCCAAAATTGGATTTCCAAAACGAAGACTCTAAATTTCAATATTATATATATATATAACTTTATATTGAATATTCGGATGGAAACAAGTTAATATATACGTTTTATAGAAAAACTGCTCTGAATATCTTTATTATACTGATAATAAAATGCTGATAACAAATATGATAATATATAATTATTAGTGTCATCATTATTTTAATATTTACCCTTTTATCCTTAAAATAATGAAAATCCTTCACAAAAATAGTCTTTATCAATTCTGGATCCGCTATCATTAATGTGGGTTTCGATCCCTCGTAAATGCTAATAAATTATAAAGTATAAACATAATTTATATATTAAAAACAGCATACAATTAGATTAAATAATGCCAACATTTATATTAATTTACGGTAACACAAGATATTGTGTATCTGTATTTTCAAAAATGTGACATTAATTAGGCTGCAATTTTGAAAAATTGTAAACCTATAATTTTTCACTATCGACCTTTTCCGTCTGTTTTTCTTTCCTTAATCTCGAAAATCGTTTTAGATAAATGAAATTGAAGACAAGATATGGAAATCGTAGAGGCAAGAAGCCCCATTAACTATACACGAACGTCCGAAGCAAACCAGAAGTTAAGGTTATTTAAATTCAAATCCTTTTCGCTTGAAAGCAGTTAATAGATGAGCGGCACAACTCCATTATTAAAGGAAAAGTACGATGTACAGGGGCAAGGAAGTCCTATATTAATTTGAGGTGGAGAGTACATAATTTAAATTAAATAAATTAAAAATATGATTAAAATTACAGCCCGGCATGATAAATTTTATGCAGCACAGATTAAGCATCAATTTTCATAGAATATTTATCGTTTCTTAATTGAAAATTCCGAACCAATTTTAAATAAGTTTCGAAAAGTTTAAAAACATCACGTTTGTATTATTATAAAGTGAACTTATAAAAATCAGATAAGTTTTTAAGTAGACAATGCCAATAGATTAATTTTTATTACCTTATCCATAAATAATAATCATAATATTATTTATCTTACCGATAATAATTTGGTTTGTTTTATGATACAAAATATACTCTTGCTTACACTTATTTATACAAATTTAAAATTAATTTTCGTAAAGCGTTTTGAATTAATATTTTTTATAAAACAACTCTACAGCTAATAAATAACAATTTCAGAAAAATGGAAGAATATTTTTGATAGTTTTAATTAGAAAATACATTCTAAAAATAATTTGTTTTTACCATCTTTAAGTTGTATTGAACATGACATCATTATATAGCCCAAAGATAAGCTAATATATCTTTTTTATGAATATTCAAATATTATCGAAGTAGAATTTCTGTAGTTTTTCAATCCATTCCTTCCATCGTGTAAATAATTACATTGTTGGTTTCACTGCCATCCAATTATGTAAGAATTTCTTTCTTTCTTATTAAAACAAGTAAATTAATTGCACATTTAATTAAAAAAATGTTTTGATTCCAATTTAGTACAATGAATTAATATTTACGAATTTGATAACACAGTAAGATAATACAGCAAATGTATTATAACTTAGAAGTGCGCGATTTATCAGCAAATATAAATTATGACGTTTTTAATTAAAAATAAAATTCTTAACGAACTTCTAATCAAAATATTTAAATCTCATAAGTGTTTTATGTAAGATTAATTCGATTCTTCTCTTTCTCTGCATGGCCTAAGAATATTTTTTCTTTCTTCGTTCTGAATTATCTATTCTTATGTAATCTTTAACGTCACATTCAAGTCATAATTATAAAACAGTGCGTAACTTGGTTCTTTCTTTCGCATCATTTGCGTCATTCCATATAATTTTTTTCATTTTTTTTAAAGTATCAAACAATTTATTCTTATAACAGATCGATAAAAATTATTAAGATCTAATTTAAAAAGTTNTCCTTTCCTCCGTTGGATTCTTCTATGATATTGTTAATAAATGTTTGGCAACAGTCATCGACTGATTTATCCATCTACAAAGAGTTCGGGAAAAATCCATTACATAAAATTTATTTCATGCTGTTAAATTTTACTCTAATATATATTTTGATATGTAACTGAAGCAAAAAAAGGAAAAATAATTCGCACTAGTCTCAGTTTTCCAGAAGTGAAACTGGGTGACATCATACTTCTTAATTGTTTCCATCTTTCTCCAGTTTCCATGAATAATCCCCTATCCAAAATTCGATCTCCGAAACGAAAATTCTAAATTTTTGTTTATTTTATTGATTATTTTATTATCACATAATGTTTATTAAAACAAATATTTATTAGTGGTTTTATTTTTTTAATATTTACTCTCTGGTCCGAAAAATAATGAAAATCCTTCACAAAAACAGCCTTTATCAATTCTGGATCCGCTATTATTAATGTGGGATACGGTCCTTCGTAAATACTAATAAAATAAAAAAGTATAAAAATAATTTATATATTAAATAGCATACCATTAACATAAATAAAGCCAATATTTATATTAATTTACAATAACTCAAGATATTCGGTATATGTATTTCACAACAAATGATATTAATTTATTTAATACCATTTAATTTGGTTAGGAAATCTTTAATGTTAGTATTAATAAATAATTTTGATATTTAATATTTTTAGATGAAGTTATTACACATCGAATTTTATGCAGCACAGATTAAGCAACAATTCTCATAGAACAAATCTTTCTCAATTCAGAATTCCGAACCAATTTTAAATAAGCTTCGTATAGTTTAAAAACGGAACTTTTGTATTATGATAAAATAGACGTATAAAAAACTATATATGTTTTTAAGTAGACAATACTAATACATTAATTTTTATTACTTTATCCATAAATGATAATTATAATACTATTTATCTTATCGATAATAATTTGGTTTGTTTTATGATGCAACACATACTCTTGCTTATACCTATTTATACAGATTTAAAATTAGTTCTTGTAAGCGTTTTGAATTAAGATAAAAAAAATATTTCTTCTGCCAATCAATGACAATTTGAGGGAAATAATGTAAGTATATTTCTGGTAAATTTAATTAGAAAACATATTTTAAAAGTAATTTTTTACCGTATTTATTGTATTAAACATGGCGTCATCATATAGTATAGTTTTGCTAGTGTATTTTCCCAGGGATATTCACGTATTATCGAAGTAGAATTTCTATAATTTTTGAATCCATTCCTTTGATTTCTCTGCCATCCAATTATGTAAGACCTTGCTTATTTATTTATTTTTTTATTAGAATAAGGAAATTAATTACATATTTGATTAAATAAATATTATAATTCCAATGTTGTAAAATAAATCAATATTTACGATTTTGAAACCGCTGTAAGATAATAAAGCTAAGGTACTATTACTTAGATATGTGAGATTTATTGGCAAATAAAAATTATGACGTTTTTAATTAAAAATAAAAAATTTTAATAAACTTCTAATCAAAATATTTAAACATCAGAAGTGTTTTATGTAAGATTAATTCGATTCTCCCCTTTTACTTAATGTTCTAATAATAGTTTTTAATTTCTTCCTCCTGAACTATCTATTCTTATGTAACACTTTAACGTCACATTCAAGTTACAATTACAGTATATAACAATGCATATCTTGTTTCTTTTGTTTGTATCATTTGCGTCATTCCATATAAATTTTTTAGTTTTTTAAGTATTAAACAATTTATTCTTATAGCAGATCGCTAAAGAATATTATAATCTAATTTAAAAAGTTACTTGATACTAAGAAAGTATTAATTATAAAAATTAATTGTTTAAATAGTTTAATGTGATTTTAAGTAATATTTTTAAATCACTTACATCTCAGTTTTCTATAAAGATAAAAAATTACTTTGCTAAAAAATTAATTGCAAATAAATAATTTTATTACCCAAATATTTTTCCATATTTGTTATACCATTCTTGTTCTTGTTTGCCTTGATGCTGGAAGTAATTTTTATAATGATGGATAAGGAATTTTCAGTTTATACTTACGAGTTTAGTAACTAGAAATATTTTTACGTTGCAGAATAATAAAAAACATTACACATTTTATATTCCAACCAATTGATCCAACCAAAAATCTTGGAGGCACTTCAGGAATTCCTCGATTTTTCCAATAGCCAAAGTTCCTCGTCATATACCTATAAAAGCAATTTTTATTATTACAATCGTACTATCAATATAACAAAATATTAGTTTTGGTGTATTAGCGATGCAATTATATCATGTGTAAAACAATGTTGTTGGTAAACTCTTAGAATCATTTTATAGTTTACTAGCTGCAAGAATCCGCTTCTCTGGGTTTTTATTTGTGGGCAAAAAGTAACGATAGTGAAGATTAAGATAATTACATTATAGCCAATCTTACCCGTTTTCACAGAATGCAAGAATTAGGTCCCCCGTTTCCAGACTAATGAGAGACCTGGTCCCGATTCTATTTCTGAACGTCTCTTGTTCACGTCCAGTCAAACGAACTCTTTTCAACGTTTCTGGAACGTTTACAATCGTTCTATAATCGAACGAATATTCGAATTTTATGTTCGAATTAAATTCGAACAAATTCGAACATAACATTAGAAATAGAAAACCACTTTCAGCCCCCATATCTCCCACATTCTTATAGCTATCGAGACGCAACCCCCATAGTGCACGAATGGAGACTTGGGGCTACCACCACATACAAACAGCATTCATGTGCGATGTGTAGTTTTTGCGGAAAAGTGAAATATAGGGACACACACGTCCATTTTTATATATATATAC